TCAGAAAGTTAGGGATGGAGAAAAGGGAAAGGTTGCATAACATTTCTGGGAAGGCTGGAGGCCCAATTTCTTGGACCTACGGGCACAGGATTACAGGTCATTTTAGGAGATGCTTTCTAACCACACCATCACTGATGTCTAGATAAAAAGGAGCTTTCCAAATTCAGTTCTGGCTACTTGACTTTGGTTGCTGCCAGGCAGGCTAGGGTGGAGTCTAGCCACACTCTTGGGGTCTGGAGACACAACAACTTGAATTACTGAAATTACTCTTTGCGTAACTCTCTGTAAGATTCTAATCACTTTCCCATTTTTGTGGCGAGCAAGAAGAACAAAGTTTTACCTATTAAGCCAATATTTGCCAGGACTCCAGCTGCAAGTTTAAGTTACTCATGGAGACTTGCTTCCTGGGTTTTGAGTCCTGCTATAAATGTGGGAGCACCCTCCCTCCAGATTCTCTTAGGTGGCTGAGGAAGACAAGTCCTCGAGCTGGGAGGCCAGAACCCTAAGCCTGGCTCTGGCTTGTCATGTGCTACAGGATATTACCCAGCTCACCTCATCTCCTTCAGCCAGTTCTCCATCTTTAACCAGGATGGCTGAGAAGGGTCAAAGCTGCCCTTACTTCCTTGGGAAGAACTGACACGCACCTCTTTAAATGACGGCTGTGAAAGACTCCGATAATACAAACAACACACTAATAAGACCATATTCTTAATGTACTAGTTATCAAGTAACTGGTAGCCTATACTGAGTATCTCTTAAAGGATGCCAGGTTTAGGGCCTGGGGCTTTGTCTTTAGAGTAACAGAGATTTTAGTAGAGTCATAATTTGTTTTCCCATGTACTGCTTATCCATCAGCCTTATCATACAAAACATAACCAAAACCTTAAAACTAGCTAACAAGACCTCTGATGAGATCCATGCCAAGAAATTTTGGCCAAACATGTGCCCTGAGAGAGACTTGGTTTACGTGGGATGTAGTATAGACCAGGTGAGGATAAACTTTTTCTATAAAGGGCCAGACGATAAAAACTGTAGTCAGGCTCTATCACAGTTATGCAATGCCACCATCTCAGTGCAAAAGCTGCCACAGATAATGAACAGATGTGACTGTGTTAATAAATAAAACTTCATTTACAAAAGCAAATTTGGTGCATGGGCTAGAGTTTGCCAACTGCTGACATATTGAAACACTGGAATCTGAGTATCTCTGGGCAGGCTTCCCCACTTCATACCCCACGAAAACTTTGTGTTCCTATATAGCCCCGATTATGCTATTAATAACTGCGGCAAGCAGTTACTTTGACTTACTATATGTAGGTCCTTTTCTAAGCATTTTGCATATATAAATTCATGTAATCACTACTGAAGTCCTGCTATTATCCTCATGAAAAATAAGATTCAAGTCAAGTCACCTGCCCAAGATCAGGCAGCTGGTGGCAGTGGCAGGATTTGGACTCAGTTACTTGGGGTTTCGAGTCTGTGCTCTTTACTGCTGTGTCACACTATCCAGTAGATCCTGACTGCACAAACCCAGACAGCAGGTGCTGAGAAGACACGCCACAACTCCCTCATCCCCCCCTGAATCTATGGCTTACCACAGGTGACCCCCTATTCTAAGGGGTCAGGCAACAGAGTGGAAGTGACAAACATTGTGAGAGTAGTGGGAAGCGAGATGAGGAGGGGACTGGAATCAGGCACTAACAATAGTAAAAATAACACAATAGCTAATAATCTGACAAAAGCAGAGGGAGACAAAAGTGAAGACAAAAAAGGAATTATTTATTCAGTAAGGTCCGCTCCCCCCCACCCATTCTTCTCCCAAGTATTTTAACATTAGGGTAAGGCCACAGGGTACCTCAGCCATGAACTAGGGGCTGGTGGGCATGTGTGAGGAGGTAAGCCATTCATCCTTAGCCTTTCTACTTATCAGAATGTGTTTCTTGACAGCGTTTGGCTTACAGGGAAGACCTACATATTTTAGTAGAGATCCTTAATATGAGTATAAGAAACAGAAAACACTTAGGATACTGCATGGGGTCAGAATCTGGCAAGAGTACATCTGATCTAGAAGAAAGTTTCCAAAAACTCTGGCAACTTTTCCACCTCCAGGTTCCATGGGTTACATTTGTCTTCTTTCATGCCTGACCTCTCCAACGTACCCCCATTTCTCATGATGGTGCCTCCTCTCTGCAGTTCTGTGCCATCATCCCCTTGACAGCACTCTCTCCTTTTTTGTATCACTCCTGCTTTCTTATCGCTGGACTCTTTTAAGTTTTCTGCCCTGGCCTGATCACAACATCCTTTTAATTTCTATCCCCCAGAGCTTACTGTCACTGTCCCTCTGTTTTCCAATGTCAAGTAAAGAATTTTATTGACCCAGACTGCCTTTCTGATTCAGATTCATGACTGCCAACTACCCACAAGCTGACTGCCTGGTTTCAAAGGACAATCTCCTGGGTCAATCAGTCAGAGGTAGAAGGGTCACTTATTTAAGTGCCATCTAGGTGGAGGGGAGGGGATTACCTCAAAAAATGGGGAGAAATGACAGCTGTATCTTCAGAATTCCAGGGAGTCTAGAATCTGGGAGTGAAGGAGAACACCCCCCACCACACACACACCCAAATCAACCGATCCAAACCAATATTTGTCCATATGTCCCTAAAGCAATCCTAAACCTCCAAAGGTTAATGGTGTCATGCCACTTACCACACATCTCTGAAGTAAAGGAGGTTGGGGGACAGTGGGAAGAGTGGATCAAGGATGGGAAAAGCAATTTACAAAACGTCCTGTTAGTTAAAGTCAGTATTGAATGCTGCTGGACATGTGGATGTAATAACATCATACTTAAAAGGCTTATCTGTCGTCTATACATATTTACTATAGACTGTGAGTGGAAGGGACACTTATCCTGTATGGGATGAAGAAAGAAACTAAACTTTCACATACCTTTCTTTGTTCAAGTTTATGAAGATATTCTGAATTTATGAAAAACTACAGTGTTTCTCATCTTTTTGGAGTCTTTCTCATCAAAGGATGCTGAATAATAATGATAAAATTGAAAAACACCCCAGATTTTTGGTATTCAAAGACTAACAGAGACACATCGCCACACAGCCTATTACTTAGGTGACACACAGCACATAGGGATCAGGTCATCTGCAGTGTTTTAACACCTCAAACATTTGTAAGGATTTCTAAATCAGACCCTAAATCACTTGAGCTACCATGATTAATGCTTTTGGGATTCTGATCTAAGTCAAAGAAACCATCCTTTTAAGTGGTAGTACTATTTTATCCAAACACACAGACACACACACACACACACATGTGCACACGCGTGCCCAAACACTTTCACAACCAATTCATTACTGTTTTTCTAGAGAAAGTGAAAAGGCTGTCAGAGGCACCTAAGAGGAAGCTGCACTTGTTTACAAAACAGACATGATATAATTTCAAGGTCAAGCCCATAGTCATGCAAATTATTTCCTTCCAGCAGGTGCAGAGAGAAGAGAACTTTTTTTTTTAAGTGCCTGCATCTCCCTAAAGCTAGGGCCATGATCCATTCATTTCACAACCCAGGCAAGAATGAGAACACCCCATGTGACCTTTCTAACTCAAATTCAGCTGAAAGCAGAAAAATACTCTGTTAATACAGGGCAGATTTTGATACAGGGAAGCAAAGACATATACATTCATGAGACCATCTTAAATAACCATTTATAATCTAGACTGATTTTATTTCATCTCAGAGGAGACAGTGTGAAATGCTATATATAGGGAGTAAATCTTATTTACCACCCCCATTTCTCAACCTTGACACTAATGACATTTTGTGCCAGATAATTCCTTGTTGTGGAGCTGTCCTGTGCATTGCAGCATGCTCAGCAGCCTCCTGACCTCTACCCATTGGATGCCAGAAGCCCCTCCCTCAGTCACGACAACCCTAATTGTCTCTGGACATTGCCAAACATTTCCAGAATTGCCCCCATCTGAGAAACACTGTACAAAAAAATAGCTGAGGCCGAATTCTAGTTCTTCATAGCTAAGACAGTAACGTGGAATTAAATCAGCTTCCTGGATATAGGCTGACTTAATTGCCTCTTTGGCATAGTTAACATTATAGAATTGAAGAGGCACGGCCCCCCTCTTGAATATGGTCAGAAAATCACCACTGGGAATTCTTACACTTTTGGTCCCTCATGCTCTTTCAATTTCAGGGTTTCTAAACTTCCTTAGTATGGGAAACACAATACCATGAGTCCATAATTTCTGATCACTTTGGAAATTAATCAACTTACGTGTAGGAAGAAGCATGTTGTGAAATCCTGGAGACTGTTCTGAAACAAACATGTCTTAAAAAAATAAAAAGCTAACATTTGCCTATGAAGTGCTCTTCATGTAAAAGATCTGCATGTTGTACCAACAGCTCACACCCCAGTCTGGTTCCTCCACTGTTCTAACTTCCCAGATACACTCTGGAATTCATCTCAGAAGGGCCAAAGGACCCTATGGGGCCTAACAATCCAATGCTTCTGGAAAACACGGCTCAGACTATGGCCAAGATGTTATTCTGTCCAAGATCTCCCTGGGCAAACTGTCCGCAGGCAGCCTCCAAGGGGAGATGAAGGTCACCACACTACCTAGGCAATGGGAGAGGCCGACACACTGTTTCCCAAAAAGCAGAGGAAAAAAGTCACTTAGCAATGGGTCCCTGTGGCTTTTGGAAGACAAGCACAGGAAGAGAAAAAAAGCTGCTAACATGTCACTACCAATGTGCAGCTTGAAGGGCTTTGCAGTGCAGCCACTGTATGGATGAGCAGGTACAGCTTTTATGAGATACCCAACTGCTGAGCGAACAAATCCTTGCATATTCTTGTTTACTTCTAAGCAGATCCCATTAAGCCCTGGGCACTTGGCTTGATTACTCCCTGGATCAAAGTTAAATTAAATTACCCAACAAGCTCCTTTTCAGAGAGAGAGACACACACAGACTGACTCACCTTCCAGAAGCTATCCACTTTGCCATACACTAGGGACTGGTTCTGCCTTTTGATTTCATTAATGTGGTGGATGTCACTGGAGTTCAGGTGCTGCTCAACCACAAACCCCAGAAAGCTGTTGTCTGGAGTATGAGCTGATGTGGAAAGGAAAGAACAGCGTAGTTAGGGTTGAAATCAGCAAAAAAGAGCAACAAATACACATTTAACACAGGCTGTCTCAGACACAATTAAATGTTTTCTTTTTACCCTGTGCTTTCTTACCTGGGAGGGGTGAGGGACTGTGTGCTCCCACAAAACCCCAGCAAAATCTTCAGGAGAATAATTCTCTCCAGGATGGATTCATCTGATCCAGATTCTGCCCTTTTTAGCAGAAAATACCTTTGTCTAAAAGAATTAAGCTATGCACGCTTCCTCCTGTTTCCTCAGCACAAGGCCACTGACTTCTGGCAGAAATGCTAGGGTTTTACCAATTAATGGCTAGAAATGTGTAGGCATCCAGGCTGAATGGATGGTTCTCAGGAGGGGCTGAGTGAAAGGGGAATTGGGGGCAGTCAAGCAATATCACCCCAACCTATCCCTCCTCTAAGAATCACACACTGTAATTACACAATTACAGAATAAAGATTTGCATGCTATGGGACTATACTGAAGAGGAGGACGGAATGAAGACAAAAATGACAAGAATAAAAATAATAAGAAGGTCACTGGGATGCCAACCACTACAAAGAACAGTGTCCAGTCTATGGGATAGACTGTTCTGGAAGCGAAGAGACATTTTACTCAGAATGTCTCTCATTACTCGGGTTCTATAACCTCTACTTTAACTCTGACCAAGGGGGAAATAAACCCCACACCTTCTTCAAACAGTTGTCTCTGGTGCCTGTGGTTTTAAAAGGGATTTCACCAAAAGCTAACAATCAGAAAACCAATCTCTCTTGATGAAATGAAGAGATTTTTCAGCTTTTTCAGGAGATTAGCCCCACTGTTAAGTGAAGCAACTACTCTGCTTGACTCTGACCTGAACAGAACAGTTAGAAAAAACTTCAATGCAAAGACACCAGGCATTCAGTAAGCAGCACACACTGTGGCTGCAACCATATTCATTTACCAGGTGGGTGGCTAAGAAATGCAGAAAGTTAGTTCCTTTGTCTTCTGATTTTCTTGGGACTCAGGAGCCCTTCCCAGGCAGGCAGCCAGCACAGAAGCCCTTTAAAATGGGAAGGGGTGGGTCTGCAGCAGGGCCTAGGAATCCCCAGCTCAGGGTCCCCACTCTCCTCCCTCTGCCCTGCTCCGAAGAGGAAGAAGGGAACTGTGGAGATGAATGAGCTGTATAAATACTGTGTTATCACCATCTAGTCCCCCAGGCTTTTGCCTAATGGGGGTGACAGAACGAGGAGATAATAGGGTTGTGACTGGGGAGTTGTGTTAGGTCTGGCCAATCTGTTATTTCATTTCTGTGATTTTTGAACAAGTGCCCAGAGGCAATGGCAATGCTGCAGTTGGCTGGAAAGTAAATTACTGAATAAATTCTACTGCCAACAAGAGGTAAAAGCTTTTTTTTTTTTTTTCCTTTTTAAGGGAGGGGGGGTGATTAGGAAGGGATCTGAAGGAATATGGGAGAGGGAAAGAGAGACTGTATGCATTATAATGTCAATAAGGCAACTTAAAATACCTCTTTGTAAAACTTGCTTAACTGTAAAAATTCTGAAAGGGAAACTCACACTTTAAACCTTGAGATCATGTTTGTTGTCTTCAGAAAACTATGCTTTAGGTATTTGTTCCTGCAAATCAGTTATCTTTTCCTTATGTGGGCATTTCTTATAAAAAATGAAGTAACTTAGAGCATCTAAAACACCTACTAGATTTTATTTTATTTTGTAATATACTAAGATATACTCAAAAATAAAATGATCGTGAACCTCTCAAAAGAAAAAACGTACCCATCTCTTTTTGTGTCAAAGCTTTCTCTTGCTTTAGCTTAAACAGGGAGAGGATGACGTATTCAAATGACGTATTCAAAAAACTTGGGAAGACTGGTGGACTTGTGCTGCATTATGCCTATAATTTGGTACTAAATCAATGCTGACACTGTGTGAGGAATAAATTATGCACTCAAGCTCTCCTCTAAGTTTTCATCTAAACACGATTACAACTCTGCTCTCTCTTCTGGAGACATTCACATGGGGACTGACAACCTACAAATGCATTTAAAGGACCACAGGTGGGATTTTAAAAGTGACAGAGGCCATGCTTCCAAATGGAACTGAGAAGGCCACATGGCAGGAACACTACTCAGACTCCAACAGGTGATGCTGAACCTGGCTCCAGACTCAGGATTGGAAAACTAGGGGTTGCTCAGCTTCTCAGTTTCCAAACACCTTGCAGGGGATTCATGATTCCAGGTAACCACAGCATAGTGTGGACTGCCTCCAAGGAGCTGACCAGCAGCTGGGTGTCACCTGTCCAGTGACATCCTCATCAGCCTGGGTCTGTACACAAGCATTCCGAAAGTTTTTTATAATAAATCAAAAGCCACAAGAACAAGCTGGTGCTCTCTGAAATTCATTTGGGTGGAGATCAAACCTTAGACCAAGCTTTTGCTTTTGCTCTTCCTTAAGATGGGAGTGCAGACTTGAGCTGTGTTGGAAAGTTTTCAGAGAAGAGGTATTCATACCTCAAGGTAAATCCAAAAAAATCTTATAAATGATACACAGGAAATCCTGTATTTTTGAAAAGCTCTGTCCCAGGATAAACAAATGTGACTTAAAAAAATGGCTGATATTTGAGTTCTGATTATGTACTGAATTCTATACTAAGTGCCTCATAGTGACTATTGCATTTTATCTTCACAACAATATTTAACATGTTTGTAGAGGAGAAAAAGCAGTTACTTTAATTACTCAAGTCTACTTGCTAGGAAATGGCAACTTTGGGATTCAGAATCAGACCAGGTGGTGGTAGAGCCAAGCTCCTTAAAGCATTCTAACATACCATCTTGTAGCCCAAGTAATTCAGTGTCTGGGCTCTGTGAACTAAAGTGGTAAACATGCATCAAAGGAAAATAATGCTTATACGGTAGACCAAAATACACACGGAAGAGCCAAAACAGAAATTACACATTATCTTAGTTTTTTGAACAATTCAAGCAATGTGTTTATGGGCCAAGATTATTTTTTTTTTAAAACATGCTATAAACTGAAGGGGATTTCCTAGAATACTGATCTTAAAATAACAGGATTTTTTTCTTATTAATAAAGTATTATTTTAAGCACTTTGGAAACATCTATTTAAAAATGATTACAAATCAGCTTGATGAAATCAGTTTCCTGAGATCGCAGGATGACTTCTTTTAAGAACTACTATTAGTTTAGCTTGAATAATTCACTCAATGACAAATGTTTTAGAGAACTCTTTCTATAAGCCAGTTGATAAGCTAGGGGTTACAACGTAAAGATTACAACGTAAAGATGAGTTTCTGTCCTCATGGATCTTACTAACTACTGAATATATGAGGTGTACATTATAACTATCAAGCAGTATAATGCCCCTTTTAAAACGTAATTTTAAAAAAATGTTACGTCAAATCAACCCTTATCTTTTAATTGCAAAATCTCCAAGGCCTGTTTTTCCTACCTTTAAGTCCTAAACATCTCTAAGTGCAAATATTCATTTTTAACAGGTTGTCTGTCGGCCTTTAACCACAGCAGGCCCTACAGAGCTGGGGACTCTCAGGCCACCCTGTTACCTGGAGCAGAATCCCCAGAACAGGTCTGGGCTGCCCTCTAGCACCAAGTCCTAAAATGTCAATTTCTCAAAAATCCATCACAATACATTCACCTTCCCTCCTCTTCACTGCTCTTTGTTCTGGCCTCATCAATTCTTATTGAGATGTCTGCAATAAGTAAGTTTTATTTTTCCCTAAACAGAAATGGTTTTATTGGTTTTCCTGGTTATAGTAGAACTATATCCTCAGTGTAAGACCTTTTAGATAATAGAACAAGACATAGCAAAGAAAAATGTCACCTATCATCTTCCCACCTAGCAATACTAGTGGACTTTTCTTCTAGGTTTCTAGATCTGTTTTCATCTCAAATCAAAATTGGATCCTACTTACCTACTCTTTTGTGGACTCTCTTTTTCAGTTATACAATGTGCCACTGGGACCTCTCTGAGTTAATAACCACAGCTCATCACTGCTTGTTAAAGCAGCACAATACCTCAGTGCTGGAGCTCCTTCCATTATATGGGATGCCCTGTGGTTCTGGTCTGCCAGCATTGCTTTGTGGAACTAACTACCCATCCTGTTCCATGCAGGAGGTTGGATTGGTGTCCATGCTGTCCTCTTGTCTCACTCCACTCCCCCTGTCTCAACAGGACTCCACCTGACTCGGGCTCAGCAACAGGTTTAATACCCAATACCCCACAGTCACAGCTGCTCCATGACTTTCTGCTCCATGACTTTCACTACCTTGGCAGGGTGGAAGTAAGGAGCTACAGATGTCATCTGTGTGCTCATTTGAGAATAGCCTTCTGAGAATTGCCAAACCAGAAACACCCAAAACTGAGATAGGAGAATGAAGATATCCTCTGCTCTGCTGAAAGCTGGTTTCAACAGTTTCTGTGACAAGAGCCAACAAACTACTGAGATCAAGCCAATTTCACAGAAATTCTAATACACCCTACCGTAAGACATTTAGGATGTTTCCAATTCTTGACTATTTAAATCTACAGCATACATTATTACATCTCATCAACTCTGCACTGGAATTGTAAGTATCTCTCTACCTACCACCCTGCCCTATCTGATCTCTCTGTTTACTATGGGTCACTTGACAAAGTCTTATTGAAACAAACACGTGATTATGACAGCTGCCCGCTGAAAATCCTCACCTTCAGGATGAGGCAGGTCACTGTTCCTTCAATACCTCTGCTTTAGACTGACCTACCCAGAGATTTTAGATATAATTTTTTCCATCTTATCTCATGCTGGCTTAATTCTGGCCACTACTTCCTCCTCCTTTTAAGTCTCAGCTCCCCTAACCTCCCAGTTGTGGGTTCCCTTATTGCTTAAATTTGAGAAAGTACCCCACCTCTGCTCTTAGACGATGAGGAGCCCTTATCTCACAGTGCTATC